GGGGGGGGGGGGGGCTGTGGCGCGGAGCGGAACCTCGCGGGAAGGTCGCTACGACGGGACAGCCATGTTCAGCGTCGAGAAACAACCTGCCTAAACCTATGCCACGCCAGACTGCTGCCTCTCCCGCAAACGGCTACGAGCGGAGCCAGAAGAACGATCGAAAATACCCGACTACCACGCCTAAGTTGGGAGCTGCGCCGGCCACCTCACGTACCAGACATCAGAGAATTCTGCCTGCCGGTATCATCAGCTCGCGCCTTAGAGGCGGCGTCGTCGGGGTTCACAGACAATCGCCTCTCGAGACAAAAGCCTATAAATACATCATCCAAGAGCCACAAAAACTCGATCATTAAATTCCCACGGCGTTGCGCCTACCCACACGAAGGGTCGTCGGGCAATTGATCAACCCCCAATGGGTGGAACTCGTCCGAAAAAAACCAAGACAAAATAAACACGGCATCATCTTTATGGACGGTGCTGATTTGGATGGCGCATCCAGCATGGTCGCAGACGGAGCAGATCATGCCGACAAATGGCCAAACCTGGTGGAACTCGGAACCGCCTGATTCGCCTGAAAGAGCAGGGAAGCATTGATCAGAACGGTTCGCGTCGCGAAGGGCGCCCTGGAAGCCTTTGCGCGCACCACCAAAAGTCAACTGTCCCTACACCCCCCGGCCCACCACCTACTTTCAGTCCGTCATCACGAAGCGGAGTTCGATTTCACATTTAGAGAGGACCAACCCTACGGTGGCCGCAGCAGCAACCTCATGACTTCGGAGTCGAAGCCGCAAGCCTTCACCCCTGTGTGTAGGAGGCTGGCGGGGCGGGGGGAGCTTAGAGGGCGTTCTCAAAGAGCAGGTTGGCTGCCATCTCGGCATTCTTGTCACAGGCGATGAAAGCTTCGATGACTTGATCCCGCCCGGCACCCGGAACCATCGCCATGAGCTTCTTAGCAAAGGCATGTAGAGTCGTGCGCGCGGGTACACACGAGGAAGCGCCGGGGGTTGGACGCGAGAGGGGGCATACGGTTTTTAGATGCTGGTACCAGGCGAAGGCATGCATCACCATGACCGTTAGCTCTCTCAACACATGAAAAATTGTGCATCACTCTAGGGTGACAAGGGCAACGCGGTAGCATCATAACAAGCGTAGCTCATAGGGGACGTGCGGGGTGTCGGCAGGTCGTCTAGGACAGCCCACGGGAGGGCGACCAACAAGAACGAAATGGTCGATAGGAACTTCGAGCGAGCACCACGTGAAGCTGCAGGGTGGGCAGCAGAGGGGCGGGCGAAAAGGCCCCCCACTCTTGGTGTTTAGAGCCTGGTCCGGTGAGAACCTGGCGTGCTCCGTCCCGGCTTTGTAGGGATGCTAGGTCAATGGTCTAACGACTACGGCATGCACGACTGTGAGCACACCCACCCCCCCCCCTACTCTTGTTGTTTCGTTTGTTGTGACGTCAAATCATGTCGGATGTTTTGTGCAGCGCGCCCTGGCAAGATTGACCTAGTGCAAGAGCGGGCCCACCCGAGCGCTCCAGGGGAGCCGCATCTTACTCCAACACTCAATGAACGCCACTCTGCGCCACCACACCAAAAAACAACAAGAAACGCCACAATCAGCAACAACGACCAACCCATTGACAGTCAAACGTGGGGCAACAAGTTCCAAAACCACCAGAAAACAGCAGTTACTAACGTATTTTAACCTCACGTTCTGAACAGCGGCATCTTCCTCTTCAGTGAGCTCCACGGTCACTGTCTGGCCCTGGCCCCCATCCCCCCCGGCCCCCCCGACGCCCGGAGAACCCCCCCCCCCACCGGCTGCAACAGCTTCTGCGTCTCCCCCCTCCTCCTCCTCCTCCTCTTCCTCCTGGTCCATCCCCTCCAGCAAGCCTTCCACGCTATGCACGTCCCGACGCCACACACCAAGAATACCAAATTTCGATATGTGACGAACAGCAAAATGAGATGTGAGTGAGTGAGTGAGTGCGTGGGTGAGTGAGGCATGTGTCGTTTCCACCAAAATGCCAAAAAAAGATGCAAAAGTGAATGGGTAAGTGAGTGAGTGAGACATGAGTCGGTCCGCCAAACGTGCCAAAACAACGGGAGTTACTGAGTGGGTGAGTGAGACACGTGTCTTTGGCCCAACGTGCATAAGAAAAGGCAGAAATGTGAAGTGAGTCAATGAGTCATGACGGGCGAGTGAGTAAGCGAGACAAGCGTTGTGGCGTCCAACTTTCGCAAATATGCAAAACTCTGACTTCGTGAGTGACCCAGTTAGTGAGTGAGACATGTGCCGTTGCTCGGAACAAGAACGTGAGTGAGACGGGTGTTGTTGATTCGAAAATGCCATGAAAAAAGCAAAACTGAGAGAAAGTGAGACATGTGCGCCCTCAAAAACGCTAGAAACAAATGCGAAACTGTGAGTGAGTAAGTGAGTGAGTGAGGGAGAGCGAGTGAGACACGTGTTTCCCTGAACAACCGCAAGAAATATGACAACTGTGAGTGAGTTGAGTGAGAAAGCGGGAGAGATTTGTTTTGTTCCCCCTAAAATGCCAAAAAAACATGTGCAACGATGTGAGTGAGTGCGA